AAGAGTATTGTATAATTCGGAAGATTTTTTTCGTAGGTAGAATATTGGTTACTTTTTTTTGATGAATTCCAGTATTTCCTGACCACAAACCATATAACCGCAATCAGTAGAAAAGCAAGTATAGAATATAATACCATCGGCGACATTAGAGAACTCGTAACGGCAGGAACAGTCACTGGTGCTAGAGGTATTTCTCGGAATAATGGTACTGCTTCTGTACCACCTGACTGCTCCGCAACCTCTTCTCTTGAAATAGACTTTTCAAAATGTGCTAGTCGACTATGAATAGATTGATTGGGTAGGATATCTGTCTGGCTTCTCGAAACCATCTCATCCTGGGATAATAGCTCTTGCAAAGCTTCTAATATATGCTCCCTAGCATAACTTTTATCTAATTCCATGACCTTGTCTTCAAAGCTGATCTTATAGACGAGGGGTCTTAAATTATCACTGAGCCAGCCTGGTAGCTTCCGCGTTGAATTGATTATAGGCAGGAATTGAGGATTTACTTTATTATTTTTTTCCAATTCTAACCGGTCTCTGAGAGACCTATTTTCCTCTATTAATTTTATTCGTCCTGAAGACAAAGCATTCACTTTCCAACTGGTTATCTTATGTGTCACTTCTATCCCCTTTTCTATACATTCTATTGTATATTCTTTTGAATTAAGGTCCCCCTTCACTTGTTCTAATTCAAGCCTAAGAGAATCGATCTCTTTGGAATTATCTGTTTCAGTTGAGCTTATTTAGGCTGACTCATCTATCATTCCTCCCACTGCATTCAAATCATGGAATATTGGATCTGGTTTCAAGTCCTCCAACTTATCTTCCAATTCACGTACTTTAACTTTAAGAGAGAGAATCTTGATCTTGTCGGCGGATGAAGCTTTCTGGGCCAAAGTTCCCTCTCTTTTCAGTGTTTTAATCTTTGATTTGAGTGATTGAATTTCAGCAGTATATTTGGCTTCAAGCTCAGTATTAGCTGTATTTAGCCGACTAAACTTATTGTTAAGGCCAGAACAGATACGATTAAAATCCTTTACTCACTTTAAATGTATATTCTGCAGATCTTTATAATCATTAGCAATATCAGAAGCAGTTTCAATACTACTGCGCAATGCTTTCTCAAGTTCTAATTCACGGATGCTACCAAGCCGATGACCTAAGGGAGTGTGTTTACTTAGTGAATATTCAACCACCTCTTTATTTTTTATGGATACTAGCCCCTCGTTAGCATAGCTAACCTGGGTGAGCACCCACCCTGCAGTTCGTTAGAAGGCTGATCATAGTGAGAGTAAGAACATCCTTCTGATCCTTCATTAAAGAATAATCAGCTTAGTAGTAAAAATATTGATTGAGATAAAGAAATCGAGATCATATATGACTT